ATATATATATATATATATAATTGTGGGGCGGGACAGGTTGGGTACCATAGTACCTATAATGGCACCCGTACCCACTAAATTTTGTGGATCTATACCCACCTTGTATCCATCTCTATATAAGTGGGTATTTACCTGTCCAACATGTAGGTATTTTTGTGGGTGCCCATAGGATTCATGTCCATTTTTTCATCCCTACTATGGATATGTGGATGGGAATTAATGTGTATTTGTGGTTTAATTTATGATGTGGATGCGTGTAGCTATTCTTAAATTTCATATATGTAGTGTATGGATGAAATGTATTCTCACTCTATATGTTTATGTTGCTTATATATGGGTTGATCGTCATTTGCAAGAATAGATTAGATACAAGAAGATGAATTTGATGGAGGAGAGGCTTAAAACTTCACTTGTCTTAAGGTTTTGTTTTGATTAATGTGACATCGGGACAGAGAATTATGGTTTTAGTAGTTTGATAAATGATTTAAATTTTAGTTAATCATATTTTATGGTGAAGTCTTGTTCAAATAGACACTTTATGTCTTGTTTTAATTTTATACATTATTAACTATGTTATCTTTTATTTATTAGATTTATTGGAAAAACTGTGAACGACTTTACTAAAAGTTGATGAAGCTTTATAATATACAATATTTTGACTTTTTATTCTATTATATATTAATTATTGTTTAATTATTTAAGGTAGAAGAGTGTAAGGTAATGCATGTTTCTTAAAATATAAATAATCTCATATTTTTGTTCTTGAAATGCAAAAATCTTGAAAACATATATTAAAACAAAGTAAAAGAAAACTAATTTTTCTTAAATTTGGTGAATTAGTTATTTAATATGATGGAGTATTATACACTTAGTTATTTACCAATAAGTTATTAGCCTTACTATAATTGGACTTAGTCCATTTAAGCAATATTTTAAATTTTAATCTTGTAAATAAAAAAAATGTGATTAAAAGAGAAATTTCATTAAAAATGGTTAGTCAAGTTCTTTGACAATTATCAATGAAACGATAGATATTTCACATTAATAACATGATTACAATAAAATATTTACTCATTTTTAAAAAAAATATTTCAATAAATTATACTTTGATCTTTTTTATAAGATCCAAATCAAAAGTGTTGTTTGATCCTTTATAAAAAAAATACATCTAAAATGTCTTTTTCACCAATCATTATATATATATATATATATATCAATATATGTAGGTATATGCCTATTTGACATATAGTTACACATAATTTTAGTGTTAATTTTGAATGAGATTTAAGAACATATTTTGTGTGTCACTATAGTCTATACCCACACTTTTTAATAATATATCAACATCTATTGTAGTTATTGTGTAAGTAAAAGTAATTTTTAGTAACATGTATAGTGTCACTATAGGGTGCGTGTTACTATATGACAATTTTCTTGTAGTGTTGGACTCTGCTTGTGCTTCGTCTTCCGATTATCTAGGTAAGGGAGAGTGAGAAACCTCGCTTGGGGTGTGAGAATAATTGTTGGTAGTAGGATTGACTCCCAATCCCTTGCTTGATGCATGTTTTAGGAACAGACAAATTTTAACACCCTGATTTTTACAGATTATACGAAGGCTCAAAGCCCAATAAAGGTGATTTAGTAGCCTAGAATGGTCCGTTCCCAAACTGGAACGAGTCGTTCCAAACTACTAAAATGGCCTATAACCCTAGTTGGGAACAGGTCGTTCTGGTTTAAGAACGAACCGTTCTGAATGTGAATTTTACACATGATGAATGAGTCCAGAATGGGCCATCCGGATTCGAAACAGACCGTTATGGCCACTCTTGATGTCTATAAATAGCACGCTCTGACAATCCCAGAAACACATTTTTTTACTTTTGACTTCTTTTCTTCTACACTCTCTGAAGACCAAGGGGAACCTAGAGGAGGAGACCAACCAGATCCTGCTTTAGTTTAACTACTGCTTATTGAGGTATGGGGGAAAAGGAGATTATTTGTATGCAAAGTTACATGAGAGAATTGGGTAGAGGAGGAATTTCGTAGGATTATGGGTAATTTTATAATTATTTCTGTTTGAGGAATTGATGATCCCATTAGATTTTGCATGTATTGAGGATTAGGAATATGCAAATAATTTGTAAAAATGATAATCTGGGAGAGAGAACAAAATTGTAGAAAAGTGCCCGTGAGTTAGGTTTTGGAAAAATTGGGAGTTTTACTATTTGAGTTAAGATTTTATTAAATTGGTGATTCAATCGGGATTTATATTAATTTATAAATGTTATTGTTATATTATTTGGTAAAATTGATGATCTAGATGTGGATTCATGGTGAATTACTTGAGGGGTATGTGAACCACTATTTTGTGTGGACTTATCTATTTTGTGTATGTGATGTGGAATTGAGTTATGGAATGTGGTGTGATGTCTTGGCACAAATGTGTACATTATATCTACCGTTTTAATATTGAATTGATAACATGATGTGGCAAATGGTATGTTACGACTTAATTGTTCAATTAATTATGATGTAAGTATGTTGGCATGAAATGAGATGTGTGGAATGTGAATGTGATATGATTGTGGTTCCTCACACTTATGTCAAGGGTGGCACGACCTTGGGCAAGAGATGTTACAGGGGTGGCGTGACCTTGGCATAGTGTTAATTGCAAGATTTGTGACGATTATGAATGAAATATGATTGTGGTTCCTCACACTTATGTCAGGGGTGGCACGACCTTGGGCAAGAGATACTACAGGGGTGGCACGACCTTGGGTAAGAGATGCTATAGGGGTGACGTGACCTTGACATAGTGTTAATTGCAAAATTTAGTAATTGTCCATTAAGATTAGTATAGTAATATAAGAAAAAGGTTGGAGTAGTAGAAACATATGGTTTATTCTCCATTATGATCATTTTCATAATCTTTATATCTTTTAAAAGAAATTAATAAATAATTAGCGGAGTGATCTATATAATATTAAAGATATTTGTTATATAAATTAGATAATTAAATTCTATAAAAACGACTAATTGAAATAGATTTTGAATAAATCATAAAGATATAACTTACCGCACTAGTATACCTAGCTATTCTAAAGATAAAAAAAAATATTAAATATCCTTTTTAGTGGTATTAATTATTTTAAAAGCCAAACTTTGGAAATATGTGTTAATTTTTTTTTTTAATACAACTTAAGTGAATGTATATTATTGAAATCGGCATTAATTATAACTATATATTATCAAAATAAAATTCTAATTTTGATTGAAAAACATCATGAATAAAACCTAAAGTTTTGTTCACTTTTTTCATCTTTAAGGAGTTTATAACTCACACACAACTACTTAACCAAGTGAATTAGACTCCTTATACTTTGTTTAGGTCAAGTTGAATCAACAATCATCTATTTTAATTATATTTTTAAAAAATCATAAAAACAAATCATTATTTTAAAAATAATTTTTGCAAACATGTGTTATGATCATTACATGCAGAAGAAACCAAAAGGCAGAGATGGAAAAACTGTGACACTTGGGAATCCAAAATCTCTCATGTTTATTTGCCTAAGTGATAAACCCACATACTCTGGAAAGATAAGGACCGTTTTATGTGGTTTCCTGATGTGTCTAAATTAAAGTAGAAAAAGAGATAAACTTCAGGAAAAGTAAAGATTAAAGAAATATCACTACTGTTTATAAATCTTTACCTGATATTAGGTTGGTCTAGCAGTAGAAAACCATAATAAACATATAAAAATTGAAATTAAATTATTATTTCTAAAGTTCCACTTGCTTTACATAGATTCTCATTACTATATTGTGTGCATATTTTTACAAAGAAATCTATATTAAAAAGGAGTTTAATAGTATGTTAATATGTTATTGTAAAAAAAAATTATTTTGTCAATCAATTATAAGTTACTATTAAATACTTACTACTATTAAGTTAGTATGAAAATGAACAACTTATCATTTATAGAAATTTATGATCGAATAAAAAGCTTATTATTCACAAAAATTTATGAATAATTATGTAAAATTATTTTTATACTATCAATGCAAATAACACTTACTCTTTTTTTTTAAATATTTATTTTTATTTCTTTTATAACTCTATAATTAAAGACGTTTTTTTATCAAGTTCCCTACATTTATATGGAAAAATTAAATTTATTACCGTATATATATATATATATATATTTTTTTTATTTCATCTTTTCTCTCTATTTCATCATATCACTCTATTTGTTGTTTATCTCTTTTCTTATCATATTAATTGTTACTTCTATTTTTTCTTCTATATTTTTCATGGAATTTGTCCACTCAAAACGAGGTGACGTTTTCCATTTTTCAAAAAATAATCGCATGAAGCCATAATACAAAAAATAATATTGTAACAGAATTGTCCTAGTCGCAAATAACTAATTTATTTTTTAAAGAAAAAAAAAACGTATATCCTTTGCCATTGCCATTCTACACCGGCATTTGGTATGTGAAACAAGTGGCATCACCTTTGTGGTCCAAAATCTTACATGAAGCTAAGGACCAAATTATATAAAGCAAAAAAAAATTCATCTTCAACACAACAGTAAAAAAAAAAAAAAAATTACCTCTCAAGTCTCAACAATGATGAACACAGAAAATTCCATTATTCTTTCTAGGTTAACCAACATTGAACAAGAATCACCTCAAATGGTCAAAAAGAAGTCACAAAATTACAACAACAACAAGAACAATCCGTAACAAGAGCAAAACTGCTCAAAAAACAAACTCACAACCCTCCGTACATATTTATTGCAGATTGGGAACTGATGTCATGTAAACCAAAGAAAAAAAAAATTAAAAAAAAAAATCAAGAACTAGAAAAAGGGGTCCAAGAAAAGAAACAAAAAAGTAAAAAGGGAAAACATATTTACAACAAGGTGTATCATGTGGTGGTTCGACCTCAATCTTCAAAATCAAAACCATATTTGATTCTCGAAATTGGACATATCTACCTCACGTTGTTGTTGCAGAGCATAAGATCCAACATCCTAGACCATGCTACTCGTAGGCGTGGATAAACCCTGTTCCTGTAAGTTCTTGATTCTCTGACAACATATTCCATAGTTTCCACAAAGAGGTTTAAGCTTCTGATTGGTGGCACGTAAAGGGTCAGAGGAACCGCAGAGAAAGCCACTGTGAAGAACAACTGCAGCATTTTTTTTTTCCCTTTTCTCTTGCTATATATTTTTTTTCCTTCTCTGAGGCACCCCACAATATAAAGGTGAAACCTTTGAATCCAGTAGGCAAAAGGGTACTTGGATTTGGGTTTGGTTGGAGTTTGTGGAATTTGTATGAGAAAGGGTTGGGGAAGACGAAAGAGGGTGTTTGACTATTAAAAGGGGTAAGAGATGGAGGTGGAGAGAGAAAGAAAGTGAGTAAATACTAAATAGGCTAATAGCAACTTCTGGAAACTCTGTTAACCTTAAACCATCTAAATCTCTCTCTATATATAATTTAGTGGTTGGAGTATATATAATATGGAAAAATAAATTGAAATATGTCGGTTGTTGTGTTTAGTTACTCTTTGGGGGTGTTTTCTAGTTGGTTTTCATCAATTTTCATAAGGAAAATTATTTGATTTTGTTAATTAATTATTGAATTAATTTGGTTTTAAATTTTATTTAAATCTAATATAACATAGTTTTTATTGATCAATTTTTATTTCTTAAAATTATTAATATAATTATAAAAATAATTTTAAATATAAAATATTTCATTTATAAGTCATTATTATAACAAGAATCTAAGTCTTTAAAACATAGTTTTAAAATAAATTTACATAATATATTTAGTTTAAGTATATTTTTAATTATTACAAATGAGATGGTATTAATTTTATTGTGGGTTATTGTAATTTTTTTTATCTCTCTAAAATTTAGTAATGTTTCTAGCCCTTGTTATTAAGTGATTAATCTTAACTATATATTTTTATTAAAATATTAAGTAATTAAATAGTGTTATTTATAATTACTAGTGATGTTTTGCTAATGCATTACATCTTTTAAAAAAATTATATACTATAAAATAAAAGTTATTTATTTATTTAAAATGATTGTTTGAGATAAAAAAAAATAGTGACTTTAGATATTAAGAAGTGGAAAAATAAATAATTTTTTTTATATTTATTAAAACAAAAATATCTTATTTTATAATAAAAATAATATTTCTATATTTTAAATAGATGAAAATAAATAAAAAATTAATAAGAAAATTAAATTTGGTTCATTTTCTTTTTGCAAGAATATATATATATATATATATATATATATGAGGAGGGTTCAAACGACACTAGTGTAACTTTAATTAAGTGTTACACTGCTTAATAACTTTATATTAATTGTGAATTTTGTAAATCCAACCGTTAGATTAAAAGTTTATATCTCTTAGATCATATATACAAAATTTTATATTAATCCAAGATGATTTGATACTTCATTTTTATAAAACAAAATTGACGTAATATATTCATTTCAAAATACACTAAAATATGAACACTTTGATTACCTTCAAGTTGTTGTTCAATTTTAACAAAATTTGATATACACGTATAAAGTGATATGAACTTTCAAT